TTCGCGCGTCCCGAACAGATTCACGGCGACGAATGTGCACAACGCCAACACCATCGTGATTGCGATATTGCCGGTCACGTTGGCCCCTCCGGGGAAAATCGGGATCAGCCCCATGATGTGGTTGATGAAGATAGAAGAAGACGGTCAGCAGGTACGGCGCGAACCGTTTGTAATCTTTCCCGACGCAGCTTTTGATCAGGTCGTCGTGGATCATCATCACGAACATTTCCATCGCTCCGACGAATCCGCCCGGCGCGGCCGTTTCGACTGTGCGTTTGCGGTACCACCGTGCGACGCCGAGTACGAGCAGACGAGGATCATGCTGTTCAGCAGCAACGCGAACACCGTCTTCGTGATCGACAGGTCGAGCGGGCGCATCTCCGTCCGTTGATGCGTTCGACGATCTTGCCGGCGTACGGGCCGTCCTGCGCGATGTAATAGCCGTTATATTCCCCATGTTCCAGGCGCGACGATGAGAATACGTTCCAGTGTCCGGTCTTGCTGCGAACGATCAACGGCCAGCGGAACCGTCACGTTGCGTTTCGCCCCAGGTCCGTGATGTGCCATCCGTAAGCGTCGCCGATGGTCCGAAAACGATCTCCTTCACGTCTGCATCCTCGCCTTTTGCAGGTCTTCCGCCGCTGCGGGTTTCGCGATCCCGAACAGCAGCAGACACACGATGGCACGATATGTCGTAAACTATTCATTCCCTTCGTTTTTTTCAATTTGTTTCATAGTGCCAGAAAAACACCGTTTCGAATAGCAGGAAAATCAGGTAGTAGGCGAGAAACGTCACGACGAACTCCGTATTGCGAACATCACCAGCGACGTGTAAAGCCCGATCAGCAGAACGAAAAGCAACATTTTCGCCACTTTCATGCCGAGGAACAGTCGCGTCATTTTCCGCCCGGTGTTGCGGCGGAAAAGCGCCACGAAAATCAGCCCCCAGAAATAGAAAAACAGCGGCATGTACGGCAGCCATTCCACATAATGTTCCGGGTAAGCGCCCAGCATCAGCGCCGGCCGCCCCAGCCCGAAATCAGTGTCAGGAGGGTCAGCCGATCACGTAATGCCTTTTAAATTTACGTTCCCACGTTTTCCATTTTTTCCAGTCGTTTGAGAAAGCCCGACGCTTCCCCGTGTTTTCTTTTTTCTGTCGTCAGACGCTTTCGACGCAGACGACACTTTGTCTTTTTTCACTTCCGCGAACACCGCTCGCGATCGCCACTTTTTCTTCTTTGCCGTCTTTGAGCAGGTATTGACCTCCCCTTTGACGAGGGCGGAGATGATCGGAGCGTGCCTTCTGAGCACGGTGAACTCGCCGAGCGCTCCCGGCAGCGTTACGCGCTCCACTTCTCCGCTGTAAAGCGTCCGTTCGGGGGATAAGATCTCGAGGGTCATACGGCAGCCTGTGCTAACAGTTTTTTACCTTTTTCGATCGCTTCGTCGATCGTTCCGACATTCAGGAAGGCCGGCTCGGGCAGGTAATCGACTTCGCCGTCGAGGATCATTTTGAACCCGCGGATCGTCTCCTCGATGGTGACCATCACGCCCGGTACGCCGGTGAACTGTTCGGCCACGGTGAACGGCTGCGACAGAAAACGCTGTACGCGGCGCGCCCGGTTCACGGTCTGCCGGTCTTCGTCCGAGAGCTCCTCCATGCCGAGGATCGATATGATGTCCTGCAACTCCTTGTTGCGCTGAAGGATCTGTTTTACGCGCTGCGCGGTTTCGTAGTGTTCCTTGCCGACCACCAGCGGATCGAGGATGCGCGAAGTCGATTCGAGCGGATCGACGGCCGGGTAGATCCCCAGCTCGGTGATCTTGCGGCTCAATACGGTGGTGGCGTCCAGGTGCGTGAACGTGGTCGCCGGGGCCGGGTCGGTCAGGTCGTCCGCCGGCACGTAAACGGCCTGTACGGAGGTAATCGAACCTTTTTTCGTCGAGGTGATCCGCTCCTGCATCGCGCCCATTTCGGTGGCCAGCGTCGGCTGGTAACCCACGGCCGACGGCATACGTCCGAGCAGCGCCGATACTTCGGAGCCCGCCTGCGTGAAACGGAAAATATTGTCGATGAAGAACAGGATGTCCTTGGTTCCGGTTCCCGCGTCGCGGAACGATTCGGCTACGGTTAGCCCCGACAGCGCCACCGAAGAGCGGGCTCCGGGAGGTTCGTTCATCTGTCCGAACACCAGCGTGGCCTGCGATTTCTCGACCTCCTTGTAATCCACCTTCGACAGATCCCATTCGCCTTTTTCCATGCTCTCCTTGAACGCCTCGCCGTAGCGGATCACGCCCGATTCGATCATTTCGCGCAGCAAGTCGTTGCCCTCGCGGGTACGCTCGCCGACGCCTGCGAAAACCGAAAAGCCGTGGTGTTTCTTGGCGATGTTGTTAATCAGTTCCATGATCAGCACGGTCTTGCCGACGCCTGCGCCGCCGAACAGTCCGATCTTACCGCCTTTCGAATAGGGTTCGAGCAGGTCGATCACCTTGATACCGGTGTAGAGCACTTCCTGCACGGTGGTCAGTTCGTCGAATTTCGGGGGTTCGCGGTGGATCGGGTAAGCCCCTTTTTCGTCGAGCGGCTTCATGCCGTCGATCGCATCGCCCACGACGTTCATCAGCCGCCCTTTGATCTGCTCGCCGACCGGCATGGTAATCGGGCTGAAGTGCGATACCGCTTCCATTCCCCGGCGCAGGCCGTCGGTGCTGTCCATCGCGACGGTGCGCACGGTGTTTTCACCGATGTGCTGCTGTACTTCGACGATCAGGATTTTTCCGTTGTCGCGCCGGATCTGCATGGCGTCGTGGATGCTGGGCAGAACGACCTCGTTTTCGGGGCCTTCGAACGCCACGTCCACCACGGGGCCGATAATCTGCGAAATGCGACCTGTAATCTGCGACGGATGGGCCGTGTTCGATATGTTTTCCGATTCCATAACTTTTTTCCAATTAAAAAAAACATTTCAAAGGTACGGAGTTGAACGGATCAAAAAAGTCCCGATCCACGGCATTAATGTCCTAAATTTCTTTTTACTACCTTTTTTTCTCCTTGTCGGAGTTCCGCCGGTTTGTTATCTTTGCCCCTGTCCGGCACATTTATGCCGTTGTGCGAAGATGATGAAAAAAGAAGGATTGCCCGGTATCGGCGTAGCGCAAATCGGGCCGGCGGACGGCCGCGGTTACGTGACCGATCATTTCTGGTTACCGACCGCAGGTGGAGCGCGCCGGCTCTTTTCGCCGAGCCGGTACGGTTTTACGGTGCGTGCACCGGAATTTGTACGGCGGGGAGTTGTACGATCTCGCTGAACCTGAAAATTTCCGAAATCCGTCCCGGCGATTTAATCTTCATCGTCCCGGGAACGATCGTCCATATTCCGCGCCAAAGCGACGATTTCAGCCTTTGCATGACCGGTTTTTCCGCGGAATTCCTGAAAGGGATTTACCAGGCGATCAATCCGCTTTATCCGTATATTTTCCAGACTCCGGTGCTGCCGCTGGCTGCGGACGACGCCGAAACGCTGCTCGATCTGTTCGATTTGCTGTACGAGAAAGCGCTGCGCAAGGAGCACTGTTATTGTAGGGAGATCGTGCAGAACCTGCTGTTGACTCTTTTTTACGAGATCAGCGCCCTGTATCAGAAAAAATATGCGAAAAGCGACCGGCAACTGACCCGCGACGAGGAGATTTTCCGCAAGCTGATCCGCCTGATTATCCTGCATTATAAAGAGGAGCGGACGGTGGCTTTTTATGCGCGGGAGTTGTGTCTGACGCCTAAATACTTGTCGTCGGTCGTTAAGAAGACCACCAACCGCACCGTTACCGAATGGATCAACGAGACGGTCGTGCTCGATGCGAAAACGCAGTTGAAATCGTCGCAGATGACCGTGCAGCAGATCGCCAACTACCTGAATTTCCCGACGCCGTCGTTCTTCGGCCGTTTTTTCAAGAAGCATACGGGCATGACGCCGAAAGCGTACCGGCTCAGCGAATAAGCACGCACCGGGCTGAAAATCCTGTCGGAATAATTTTTATATTTGGGGGGTATACTGTATATTTGTATAGCAGGGAAGGGAATGATAATATTTAGGGTGAGTTATACAAATCAAACTAATTAATTATGAGAATAATGCGTGAAATTTTGTGTCTTTTGGTTGTGCTTACCTGGGGAAATACGGTCACGAAAGTTTCAGCTCAGGCCCCAACGGATAAGGAGATTACTCTTTTTGAAGTCGGCGCTCCGCTTACGTCGGACGAAAGCAATCTCAGTAATCTGTTTTGTAATTTTTCCCGATACATTGAAAATAGAGCGGGGATTGAATTAGTGTCCTACAAAAAAGTAGGGACCGTCAAAAACCGAAGCCATGCTCGGAAATATTTGAAAAATAATTTCGGGGCATCGAGCAGTATTTTTTGGGATATATGAGCCATACGGGTAGTACGTCCACCAATATTTCCAAAGAGATTACTAATTCGAGAATATGGCTCGATGTAATGCCGACGGACAATTTTAAGGATTCTTATGAAATGACACGGAGAGAAAAAAGAAAACAGACGGTTGCGTCTATCGACGTCGGAGACAGTATTTACGAAATAACCTTCAATTACGATAATAAACAATATGTATATTTCGTTTTCGTCGATCCCCAAAGTCATGCCGTGGTAACGGAGGGTAATATTTTTGCATTTACAATTCCATATAGTCATATAGTTTATGTCGATACTCAGCATAAGTAAATGTCGCTATTGAAAATAAATTAGCAGGGAGCGGTTGATTTAACTGTATTTATATGAATGTTTGTCGGGATTTTGTCCAGGCGACCGCTTCCCGTTAAAGTCCTCCCTGTCCTTTGCCCCCGAACAGTTCCGTCGCCGAAACGGCCAGCGTAGCGATGCTGATGCGGCACGAAGGGGCTGCTTTCAGGATGGTTTCGGCGCAGGCGGTCAGCGTCGAACCGGTCGTCAGCACATCGTCGACCAGCAGGATATGGCGTCCGTCCAGCCGTTGCGGACAGCGTACCGAAAAGATGTCCGCCACGTTTTCCCAGCGGTCTTTGCGGTTGCGCATGGCGGTTTGCGAACGGTTGTAAGATTTACGGACGAGACTGCGGCAATCGGTCTCCCTGCCGAGCGCCCCGGCGATGCCGCGCGCGAGGTACTCCGCTTGGTTGTAGCCCCTGCGGAAAAGCCGCCTGTAATGCAACGGTACGGGGACGATCAGGTCGACCGTGTCGTACAGGCCGCTTTCGGACAGCTCCGCGCCGAACATCGCTCCGAGTCGCAGGCAGGTTTTCCATTGTCCGTGGTATTTGAATCCGTGGATCATCGCCCGGTAGCGGCCGTGCCGGGTGAAAAAGAACATCGAGGCCGCCTCTTGCACCGGAACCAGTCCCCAGAATTTACGGGCGACCGGGTTGTCGTGCTCGGCGGCATACCCGGTCAGCGGCATGTCCCAGCGGCAGTGCGGGCACAGCCACCGGACGCCCTCGGGCAACGACCGCCCGCAGGCCGGACACCGTTCCGGGAAGAACAGGCGGAATATTTCCGAAAAATAGGTGCGAAGCATGACGGACGTTCTGGGTTTGGACATCGGCCGTTGCGGCCCTGAAAAATCGATTATTCGGGAGAACCGGATTGCCAGCGTTTCAGGTGCGGGAAAAACTGTCGCATCTGCTCGCGGGCTTGTTCGCGGGTGTACTGTACCGGGGAATCGCGGTTGAATTCGTCCAGGTAGTTCAGGCAGTTTTCGATCATTTCGTCCATCGTGCATTTCTGCGTGAACGTTCCGTCCCGGAAACAAAAATGACAGTACGTTTCGTTTGGGGTCGGTCGGCGTTCGTGCCGAATTGGGAGGCGTCCGTAAGCGGCATGCCGCAACTTTGACAGAATTTTGTTCCATAATTAGGTACATGATATCGGTAAGCTCTAAAGATAGCGTTTTTTCCCGAAAAAACGCTATTGCGGGTCTACGTCTACGACGATGTCGACCGGCCGGAATTCCGGCACGGCATGCAACCGATCGAAAAGTCCGGACACTCTTTTTTCACGGCGGCGACCGGCAACTGCTTTTCGATTTTCAATAGGAACTGCAACCGGAATTGTCCGCGTATCCGATCTACTGCGGGCGGTTCGGGGCCGAGCAGCCGGCGGCCGAACCGGGTGCGCGCTTCCGTCCCGAACGCCGCAGCCGCTTTCCATAGCAAAGCGTGATCGCGATGGCGCAGCAGGACGGCGATCAACCGGCAGAAGGGCGGGTAAAAAAAGGCGCGGCGTTCGGCCAGTTGCGAGCGGATCATCGCATCGTAGTCGCTGTCGCGCGCCTGCCGAACGACCGGGTGTTCGGGCTGGGCGGTCTGGATAACGACCGTTCCCTGCTCTTCGCGGCGTCCGGCGCGTCCGCCGACCCTGCATCATCATCTGGAAAGCCCGCTCCCCGGCCCTGAAATCCGGGTAATTCAGCATGTTGTCGGCGTTCAGGATGCCGACCAACGCGACGCCGCCGAAATCGAACCCTTTCGTGATGATTTGTGTCCCGACCAGGATGTCCGTTTTACGCTGTTCGAACGAAGCGATGATGCGCCGGTAGTTGCGCGACGAACGCGCGGTGTCGGCGTCGAGCCGTTCGATCGCGGCTGCGGAAAGATCGCCGCCAGTTCCTCTTCGATTTTTTCGGTGCCGAAGCCTTGCGGAAGCAGTTCGCCGGTTCCGCACGACGGACAGGTTTTCGGGATCGGCATTGGTAGCCGCAGTAGTGGCAGCGCAGCGTTCCGTCGTTTTTATGGTAGGTCAGCGAAACGTTGCAGTCGGGGCAGACGCCCGTCCAGCCGCAATGCCCGCACCGACATACGGCGAGAATCCCCGCCGGTTCTGGAACAGCATTGCCTGACGACCCCGTTGCAGCGTCCGGTCGATCTGATCGAGCAGGATTTTGTTGAAATGCGAGTACTTTTCGCCGCGTTTGGCGGCGCGCAGCGTGTCCGACACGATCACCTGCGGCAGCGTGACTCCGCCGTAGCGTTCCGAGAGCACGACGTGTCCGTATTTGCCGGTTACCGCATTGTGGAACGATTCGGCGCAGGGCGTCGCGCTGCGAGCAGCACTTTGGCGCCGCAGACGGATGCCGCACCACGGCGGTGTCGCGGCCGTGGTAGCGAGGGCCGAGTCGGTCTGCTTGAAGCTGGTGTCGTGCTCCTCGTCGACGATTACCAGCGACAGTTGCGCAGCGGCAGCAGTACCGACGAGCGCACGCCGATCACGATCCGTCCGCCGTCGCAGCGCAGCAGTTCGTGGTAGACGGCGGCTCGGCGGTTGTCGCTCAGCCGCGAATGGTAGACCGTGACGGCTTTTCCGAAATAGCTTTCCATGCGCCGGATCAGTTGTGCGGTCAACGCGATTTCGGGCAGCATGTACAGCACGTTGTGCCCGGCTGCCAGCGCTTCGGCCATCAGCCGGATGTAGATTTCGGTCTTGCCGCTGCCGGTTACCCCGTGCAGCAGGACGACCTCTTTCTCCGAAAACAGGTTTGATCTGCCGTAGGCCGCCGTTTGCGCTGCCGAAAGTTCGGGCAGTTTGTCCGGCGCGGCGGGCGCGTCCGATGCCGGGATTTCGGTATCGGCGATCCGGATAAATCCTTTTTCGGCCAACGCTTTGAGGATCGCGGTCGGAGCCGAAAGCCGTTTGCGCGGAATTTCGATCGGTGCGCCGAAGTCGGGATTCCCGGTTTTTTCGAGGTATTCCAGCAGGGCTTTGTACTGGGATTTCGCGCGCGACAGGGAATCCAGCGCGACGTGCAGCCGTTCCTCATTGCGGATGTCCGGATGCAGCGAAACGACCGTTTGCCGCGGCTGCATGTAGCCGCGGCCGAACGTCTCGTCCTCCGAAAAACCGTCGGATTTCAGGCCGGCCGGCAGCGCCGCCCGCAGTACCATTCCCAACGGAC